TTCTCTCTCTCTCTCTCTCTCTCTCTCTCTCTCTCTCTCTCTCTCTCTCTCTCTCTCCTTCTCTACCTTCTTCCTTTGTTTCCAAACTCTTTCTTAAAATAATAATCAGGCATTTGTAAGACAGGTAAAGGCTGCTCTGACTGAAATAAAGGCAAGAGTCAGGAACATTGCCCAGTTAGACTTCCTCTCACACCTTATAGGAGCACCTGAGTTTCTGGAACCAGTTTGAAAACCACTGCCTAATAGGTTTCTCTATTGCATGATTTCTTTATACATCCTATGGAGTGTGCCCTAGATAGGGTTTTCATATTTACTAATAAAAATTAGAGGCCAGGTATGGTGACACATGCCTATAATCTCAGCAGCTCAGGAGGCTGAGGCAGGAGGATTGCGAGTTCATAAGCGAGCCCCAGCAACTTAGTGAGGCCCTAAGCACCTCAGCAATACTCTGTCTCTACATAAAATATTAAAAAGAGCTGGAGATGTGGCTCAGGGATTAATTGCCCCTGCTTCAATACCTGGCACTAAATAAATAAATAAATAAATAAATTAATTAATTATAGGCTATCCAGCTAAATTTGAATTTCAGAAATAAAAATAAATATTTTTGTACACCTATACTCCATGTGATATTTGGAACATGCTTATATAAAAAATGATTCCTTGTTTTTCTGAAATTCATATTTAGGTGGGCATTCTACATTTTTTCTGGCAATCCTAGCCCTAGAAGAAATCAGAGAATTGGGTCACAAAGGAGCCAGAATCATATACCATGTATATTTACATCTATATCTACATATTTCAGGTGTAGTGGCACATGCCTGTAATCCCAGCTACTTAGGCTGAGGCAGAAGGATTTCAAGTTCAAGCCAGCCTGGGCAAGTTAGTGAAACCCCCATCTAAAACAAATAATGATTTATCACATCACAACTGTGATACTCACCCCAAGAATTTCTCTTGTGTAGTAGTATTTGTCATCCTTCTCATATTTCAGGAAGGTGTGTACAAAGAGGAAAACATTCAGTCCCAACCAAGCAACCTACAGGAAGAAAAAAGAAGCAAGGAAAACAGTGGGATTTGGAAAGAAGCAGATAAGGTATAGGAAGCAGTATCACCATTTTGATTACTTTGTGTTTATCTGTTTTTGTTTTAAATGTGTAAAATCCTGCCAGTATCTAATCTATTTTTCAGAGTAAGCTAACACTTTGAGACATGCATTAGACACTAATGATCAGGGTCAGAAATCTAAGGTCCATGAACTAAATCTGGTTTGTTACCTGTTTTTCACAACCTGCAAGCTCAAATTTTTTGTTTTCATTTTTTACTTTTTTAAAATTTTTTGCATTGCTGAGGATTGAATCCAGGTCCATGTGCATGCCAGGCAAATGCTCTACCATTGACTGTTTTGACTGTTCTAAACAGTTAAAAATAGAAAAAGAAGAAGAATATTTAATGACATGAAAATTTTATGAAATTCAAATTTTAGTGACCATAAATAAAGTGGTATTGGCACTAAGCCACACCTATTCATTTCTGTAATGTTTATGGCTGTTTTTGTGATAGGATGGCAAAGTTGAGTAGCTGGGACAGAAGCCATATGGCTCACAAAGCCTAAAATATATACTATCTAGATTTTACTGAAACATTTGCCAATTCTTGGACTAGAGCTTTCAAACTAAATGCACCTAAAAATTGGCAATAAGTGAATAAGTGAATTTCTGAAGAAACAAAGAATAAATTTAGCATCTATAACAATACTCATTTGAAAAGGGCTAATCCATTCCCAGATGGCCCTGCCTCTTTAATTACATCCTGACATACATTTTCCTGTTTTTAGATTGTGAGTCTTTTTTAAAATTAACCTATTGTTACTCCTACTCATTTTAGCCCTTAATACTGCTTTTGCCTGTCCAACACTCTGACTTCATTGGCTAAGAGGGCAATTTCGAACCCACTGCTCATTGCCTTAGACACCAACCAATTGAGCTCTAGCCCAGGTTTGGAAGTGCTGGTCTGTAATTCAACAGGTCTCTATGGTACTGGGATGCCTCTAGAATATATTCTTGGCATCAGGATGGATAAGAACCATCTCAGCCTACAGGTAAAAGGCCTTTAGCCTAGGGCATAGTTATTTCAGATTCACTGGATCTGAACCACTTGCAGACCTCTAGCAGAAAAGCATAGTGATTCCAAGTGTGATATTGGAATCATACTCCAATTTCTAACACCACCACTTACTAGCTCTATGATTTAAGCTCTGCGATTTAAGTTCTCTGAACATCAATTTCTTCACCCATAAAAATGAGGATAAGCCAGGCACAGTGGCACATGCCTGTGTAATCCCAGCAGCTGGGGATACTGAGACAGGAAGATCCCAAGTTCAAAGCCAGCCTCAGCAACGACAAGGCGCTAAGCAACTCAGTGAGACCCTGTCTCTAAATAAAATACAAAATAGGACTGGGGATGTGGCTCAGTGGTTGAGTGCCCCTGAGTTCAATCCCTGGTACAAAAAAAAAATGAGGAAAACAGGGCTGGGCATGGTGGAGCACAGTAGTAAGCACAACAGCTGGGGAGGCCGAAGCAGGAAGATTGCAAGTTCAAAGCCAGCCTCAGCAATTTAGTGAGATTCTGTCTCAAAATAAAAAATAAAAATTGCTGGGGATGTAGCGCAGTGGTAAAGCATACCTGGGCTCAATCCCCAGTATCAAAAAAAAAAAAAGATTTTACCTCATTTACCTTTTTTAGTGTCGTTACTAGAAAAATTAGCAATTACATGAGTGGGTCGCAATATAGTTTTAGTGGGAACTGCTGGGTCAAGATGATCTCTAAGATCACTTCCCTCTCAAACATTTAATTATTTTATGAAATCTTGATGACAGTGATATGAAAAGGAGAGAAACCAAATGCTCCATGGCAACAGATAGAAGTGGGATGGTAGAGAAAAATAAGTCAGAGAATGAAAACAAATTGAAATTCCAAGTATGGCAACATGAACAATTGCCTATATGTTTTTTGTCTCTGTTCTCTCATCTGGCCTAGAGTTCAAGTTTCTAAATGATAACTGGCCTTGATGAGCCAAATAATTGCCATAGACTCTTTCACTTTTGAGTAATTTTAGAAATATTAACAAACTAGATGTCTCCTGTGTTAACTAACATTCCGAACTAATAGGAAGTGAAACATCACTTACCAGACACAAAACTGCCAACCAGTGGTTAACCACCCAGTTCCCCATTGTCAAGAAGTGGTTTGGAGTCTCTCTAGGTGCAGAGCAGATTCAGAAATCTGGATTCTGAAGAGGTTCTTCAGGGTTGGGACCTCTGTCCAGTTCTGAGTCTCTTGAGCCTTTAAGATGTGAATAGTGCACACCTACCCAGAAATGACTAAATGTATTCTGCCTTCCTCCTTTGGAAGGAACTGTTATCAGCTTAGGTAGACCAGCCCTACATAGGAGAACCACAGGGGTTTTCCCTGTTAGGGATTTTACACCTTCAGGAAATAGCAGTCTTCTTGGGTGAAAATATTCTTGCTCATCATCTTATCAACATGACCTAATGTGAAGCATTACTTTCCTTGATAAGAGATTTGCTATGGTTTCTCATGAGAAAAAATAATTAGGCTGGGATTATACTCAGATTACCTCAGGAGAAGCAGGGAAGGAAGTGTGTGTTTCAAAGAAGCTGCTTTGAGTTGAGCTTTTGGTAGAATTCTCCTATTTGCCAGCTGTCAGTTGGGCCTCAGCTTGGCTAGCTCAGAAATTTCAGTATACTAGTTTCTATGGAGGATGATCCATGATTGATGGATATGATAATAGCTCTTGACTGACTGAAAGGACAAACAGAATAAGAGAAAAAATAACAGTATAAATGTACACCTTGGTTCAAAACAGGGACAGGGCCTTCAAAACAAGGGAGATATTTGTCTTCTAGTGTGATAGATTAGCTAGAGTTGTGTTTTCAGCTCTGGGCATATATTTTTTCCTTTTTTTAAATGGTGAAATACACATGGTGGGCTGGGGATGTGGCTCAAGCGGTAGCGCGCTCGCCTGGCATGCGTGCGGCCCAGGTTCTATCCTCAGCACCACATACAAACAAAGATGTTGTGTCCGCCAAAAACTAAAAAATATATATTAAAAAAATTCTCTCTCTCTCTCTCAAAAAAAAGAAATACACATGGAAGTGTATATAAAGCATATGTATGCACTTTAAATAATAATTTTAAGGAATGAACTTAGAAAACTCGGAATGGAACCACCATTTGACCCAGCTATCCCACTCCTTGGTCCATACCCAAAGGACTTAAAATCATCATACTATAGTAACACAGCCTCATCAGTGTTTATAGCAGCTCAATTCACAATAGCTAAACTGTGGAACCAACCTAGATGTCTTTCAATAGATGAATGGATAAAGAAACTGTGGTATATATACACAATGGAATATTGCTCAGCATGAAAAGAGAATAAAATTATGACATTTGCAGGTAAATGGATGGAGTTGGAGAATATCATGCTAAGCAAAGTAAGTCAATCCCAAAACACCAAAGGCTGAATGTTCTCTCTGATAAGTGGATGCTGATCCATAATGGGGGGGGACATGGGAAAAATTGAGGAACTTTGGTAAATGGGAGGGAGGGGAGGGGAGGAGTATGGGGTCAGGAAAGATGGTGGAATGATTTGGTCATTATTATCCAAAGTACATGTGTGAAGACACGAATTGGTGTGAATATACTTTTATTACCCTAGGTACATGTATGACTGCACATATGGTGTGATGCTACATTGTGTAAAACCAGAGAAATGAAAATTTTACTGCAATTGTATACAATGAATCAAAATGCATTCTGATGTCATATATATACCTAATTAAAATTAATTAATTAATTTTAAAAATAATTTTAAAGAATGAATATTTATGTTCTTACCACCAGGTTTTCCAGTGTTTTAAAGATCCCAGTGTGAGCTCAGTGTAGTGGTGCACACCTGTTATCCCAGCTACTAGGAAAGCTGAGGCAGGAGTAACTTAGCAATGCCCTAAGCAACTTGAAGAGACCCTGTCTCAGAAAAATAAAGAGGGCTTGGGATTTGCTCAGTGGTTAAGCGCCCCTGGGTTCAATCCTTTGTGAAAGAAAAAATGAGAGAGAGAGAGAGAGAGAGAGAGAGAGAGAGAGAGAGAGAGAGAGAGAAAGACAGATCAATGTGTCCCTCTTCTTTGCCTCTCCCTCCCCCACCAGAAGCAACCTAAACTTTGAGTTAATCATTCCCTTGCTTTTCTTTATAGTTTTACTAGCTATAAATGCATCTTTAGACAATACTGTTTAATTTTTCCTGTTTTGAACTTTTTGTAAGTGGAATTCCACTTAACAAAAATGTTTGTATGTTTGTGATTTGTTTCTTTCAACATTCCTTTTTTGAGATTCATACATGTTGGCACATGTAGTTGCAGTTCATTTACATTGCTATTTAAAATGTCACTACATGAATATACCTTAATTTATTTATTCATTCTACTACTGAAAGGTATGACGATGGAATAATGTTGATTGAATGACACATTTGTGATATAGTTTGTCTAAGGTATATACCTAGGGGTGGAATTCTTGGGTCCTGAGATTTGCACATGTGCAACTTTATCACATAATGCCAAAGTCTGTTTCAAAGTGTTCACATAAATGAACACTCCAATGAGTTTTGGATGAGAGTTGCACTTCCTGCACATGCTTACCAACACCTGGTATTTTCTAGATTGTATTAGTTTTATTTACTTTTTACTTTTTAATTTTTGTTGTAGATATACACAATACCTTTATTTTATTTATTTATTTTTATCTGGTGCTGAGGACAGAACCCAGTGCCTCACACATGCTAAACAAGTGCTCTACCACCAAGCTACAAGCCCAGCCCAAGATCTTATTAGTTTTATAGCAAGCCTAAATACTATTTTATTATTATTTTAAATTGCATTTCCCTGATTATGAATGGGTATCTTTCATTTCAACTACTGGCTATTGAATTTTTTTCTTTTAATAAATGCCTTTCTAGGTTATGACCTTTATTTCTATTGGTCTATTCCATAAACTAGAAAAGGGACTTATTAAAAGAGAAAACATGGGCTGGGTTTATGGCTCAGTGGCAGAGCGCTTGCCTAGCACATGTGAGGCACTTGGGTCGATCCTCAGCACTACATAAAAATAAATAAAAGTATTGTGTCTATCTACAACTAAAAAATTTATTTAAAAGAGAAAACATAACCTTTAATGGTTATTTTTATGACTTTTCTTTTCACTTTTAATACTATTTTAATACTATTTTATTAAAATAGTATTAAAAGTTCTTAGTTTTAATATACTCTGATTACCAATATTTTCCTTTATATATGACATATACTTTGTGTCTTGTTTCAGAAATTCATTACTATCCAGAGATCAAGATAGTATCTTATATTTTATTCTAATTTTTCTTTATTTTTGATTTTTCACATTTATGTTTTGAATTCACCTGGGTTTTTTATGTATGATGTGAAAGTTTCAATGTACTATTTTTCACATGGAAAAACTAATCATCTCAGCACTATTTTTGAAAAGTACACTTTCTTCATTAATGTAAAATGTCATTTCTATCACATATCCAATGTCCACATACATGTAATCTTATTTTTGAGCTCTCTTTTCAGTTCTCTCATTCCACTTAGTTCATATTAATTACTATGGTTTTATAATAAGTCTTAACATCTGAATCAACATATTTTCCCACCTTGCTCTTTGAGAGTTCCTTGGATATTCTTGGCTTTTTGTTCTTTCCTGTAATTTTAATTCCTAAATACTGTGTATATTTTTTATGCAATTTTAAATCCTTTATTTTTACTTTAATTGGGCTGTTATATAAAGATGCAACTGGTTTTTATATATTGATTTTTGTTTCCAGCAACATTTCTAAACTCATTTGTCAATTCTAACAATATTTCTATATTTAAACTTTAGGATTTTCTATAACCACAGTCATAGTTTTGGCTCTAATCACGGTTTTCTTCCTTCCCTATTCTTCCACCTTTTATTTGTTTTTCTTGGGTTACTGGGTTGTTGGATTCAGTATAAAGTCTAGTACAATGTTGAACAAAGACAGTAATAGTGATCCCTTATCTAATTCTCAGTCTCAAAGAGGATTCTTTCTTCTACCTTTAAGTAGAATGTTACCGTGTGGGTTTGTGTAGATACCCAACTACAAATTCTTACTTTACTTTGTGTTAATCACAAAAGAGAATATCAAAAAAATAAAATAAATCATAGCATATTTTTAAAAATTTTATTACAGTACAATTTATATTCCATAAATGTCTTTCATTGTAAAAGTAAAGCTCAATGTACAACACATTTTGTAGTTATTTTTAAAAGCTGGAAAATCCCTTTAATATCACAAACCCTATAAAATAACGTTTCATTAGCTACCTAACACACCTACAGCATAGTGTCACACAATGCTGAATGAAATTGACACAGCAAGTGATAGGAGCATTTCTGGAAGCCATTCTTACACTAAAGTAGCTAGAAATCAGTTAACTATACAAAGAAGTGTCAGAGAACCACACAGGGTATATTCTCCTAAACCCAAACTAAATGTACCACCAACCCAACTTCCTTCAGCTGTCTTCTGAAATGCTTGTGACCATTCCAGGATCACTAGATGTGAAGGGAAGTGTAACAGGGAATTTAGAGTGGAAAGAGGCAGTCATTTTAACCACTTGTCATGAAAACATCTTACTTTTGAAAATTTTATTAAAACACATGTTATGGCAAAGACCATACCTTTTAAAAGAAACTAAAGTTTTTCTGTGGGAGGGTGACCAGGATGGTATAGTGATTTAAAAGCATCTGTATTAGAAAGAGTTAAATATTTGGGAGAATTTGGCCTGGAGAAAAGATTTGTCATGGACAAATGACAAATCATGAACACTTTTTCAGAGGTTTAGATTGTGTTGTATGTGGACCCAAGGAATCTACTTAAGAATTGAGGCTCTACAATATCAAGCCCATTCAAACAGAAGCATGGGAAGAAGAAGGCATCTATGACCAAACTCTCAGGTTCCATTGGGGAGGTAATGGCCAGCCAAGACAATTCACTCAGCCAACCCAGCAGTTTTACCAAATTCCACAAGCTCAGGAATAATAAGAGTCTTTGTGAAGAAAGGACTGAAACATCCTGGTCAAAATCTGCTGATACACCATCTACTTTCTCTGCAGATTAAGATGCAGCCATGGTGGATATTTTTAGAAGAAGCAGATTTTTAGGGGGAGAAACTTCAACATATAAAGAAGGGTAAAAATACTGAGTTAAATGAAGCAAATAACTTTTAC